ATGTAGAGCGGCAGTTATGTTACTGCTGAATCCCCAAACCAAAGAGCTAACAAAAAAATGATAGAAACGCTTAAATGACGACTTTACCCTCCATATATAGTCGGATTTACAGCGAGGCACAAGGGCACCAAGCGTAGGACGCACGTGACTTGCACGCACCCGATTGCTTGCTTTACAAGATTTTTAAAAACGAAACTATAGTCAAACTACCCTAACAAAGATGGTCGGTTAATTTTCGCTGGCACGTGTGCAATTAGGTCCCACGTGCCTGTGATACGTCATGCTGACGGGAGCTAACACAATTTCTCCAAATACCCCAACTTGTGGTAAGTTCTCTGAGAAGAAACTAATCAAAAGCCCAAAAAAGGTGTAAGCTTTCACTTTCGTTATCTTTACTAAAAGAACCCAAAAACGAAATCTCCCGAGTGGTACAGATAAGCTATTTCCACATCCAACCGATAACCACAAATTGTCGAAACGCTCATCATTTCTACATCCCACAAACAAACAAACATTTAATCTGCAATCTCCACCTGTAGGATTTGTAAAACGTTGTCGAGTTTAGTGATCAATCTGCTGGATGATCCAAATGAGTCTTTTTGTTAAAGTTAGGATGCAGTGTATCTGGTTTTGCTGTGGGAGAAGCGTTCAAACCAATGTTTAGGGACTGCTGGATGAATCCTAAATAGGCGAGCTATGAAGGCCTTTTCGCTCGTAGCCACAATGCTTGCGACTGAATAGCTTTTCTCGCTCAACCCTTTCTCCGTAAGCCACTTGTGGAATCTGAACCTTGGATTGATTCTGTTCTCTAGGTCAAAGCATAGATAAGCTGGGAAAATCTCTAGGTATTCCAAGGAACCTCCCATTTCGCCACGAAGGAACCTTAGCTTATCTTGTATGCTATGCGGTTTCTGGTTCAAGACCTTTGGTGCTGATCTTATCAACAAGCAGATCTTTGAGAATTCGACGCCATTGTTTAGTATGATTTGGAATCGGTCATGTAGTTCCACAGCGGTACCGTGGACGTGTTGTAGTATCTTCATGGTCATGCCGTTTTCGCCAAAACCTATTTTATGAAGGAAATCCAATTTTTGAATATTGTGTGCTGTGGTTCTTGAGTGTTGAATCTCCTCCAAGCCTTGTTGATATTCTCTGTCTAAATCTTCGTCGGGATCCATCAACGAATAGCTTTCAAGTAAATGATGTTTCCCATTCATCAACCTATCGAAGATCCTTTCATGTAAATCTACTGCTCTAAGCACATGAGGCAGATTCTTCATTTTGTTTCTACCCAAAACGTATGGGTATTTCTGAGCAACAGCATCCACTTCATCTTGGCTCAATCCAAAATGCTTAAGCATTCCCGTAACTGAGATCACCGGTTTTTCTAGCTCGAAATCCATAATAGCAGGATTTCGAAGAATCAAGAGAGCAGTATCTTCTTTCTTAACACCGAATCTACCAAAATACTCCGCCTTTTTCAACAGAGCTTCTTCTGAATACTCCATAAAAAGCGATTTGTTTCTACCCATCAACTCCCACATCTCTTCGTTCCCACAACCCAAATCATAAAAGACCTTAACTTTCCTACTAACAACATACCAAGAATCAACATTTTCTTCATAAAGATGATCCGAATTAAATTCTTCAAAAAATCTCTTAAGCTTAACAAACAAACAACGAGTCTCCGCACCCAATTCACCACTACCCAACAGAGTGCGAGGAATCGCTAAACAAATACCAATCACAGCGACTGTATCGAACCCTACACCTTTCAACTTAAGCAGCCTCGACTTAATCTCTTCAGGGGTCACCTTAAAAACCAACTTTTCCTCTTTATACAACTTACCCAGCTTATTCCAAGGAAACCCAAATCCAGATAACGCACAAGCTGCATCCAACACATTATGATCCTCAGAAAAGAAGAATTTTTTATCAGGCAAATACTCGCTAACCTCGCTGTAATCAATACCAATGCTCTCGAAGAAAAACTCGAATTCGTTAATCGGATGGTAACTGAGATACTTCCGGAGCGATTTGGAGAAGGTTGGGACGGAGAAATCAAGCTTTAAGATGAGATTTCGGATCGACACGGAGGCGTTTGTGGCAATGTGTTCGGCGTGAGTGTAGGAGAGAGACCTTGTGGTGGTGAGATAGTCTGTAATGGCTTCCTGGGCTTTTCCGATGGCTAGAGACCTGTACTTTGACGGTACTCTTCTATGTTTCTCCGTCACCGTGCCGAAATTACGCGAGATCAGTGCGAATTTCAATCTAACCATGAACATGGTCGAATTTGGGGGATTAGGGTTTCTCCACCGGTGTGTTCTCTTCCCGTGCCGTCTAAACGTCAACAGAAATGACTAGAGAACTCCTGTAAATTGCAAGAAATTACTTTTTTGCCATTCGATTCGGGGAAGAAATTGAACCGGACAGTAAGAAAGATAATACTAAACCGGGAAATATGTGCCGGTTAAATCCAGATTGCTTCGCCGTTAAATTCGGCATTTTGGAGGCGGAAATCCCGATCAACTCTGTCGTCGCAGCCGCCGCGTAATGTGGCGATTAGATCGGAGACTGAACAATTATCCACTCTGAAACGCCGTCGGGATGCGGTGAGTTACTGTCGACGGCTGGAGATGCCGAACCGGCAAGCCGTTTAGAATGTTGTGTTTCAGATCGTATAAGGAGATCGGGAAAAATCGTCGGACAAGGAGGTCACCGTATCCAGAAAGTTGGCGAATACACTAAAGCCATTTGTGAATCTGATCGTCTTGGTGCAGGTTTGCTTTTTGAATCCCTTTCTTTCCCAATGTTTCTTCAGGTACTAAGACAAAGAAGAAAGAGTTGCTTACTTTTGGGGCCTGAGTAGATTACTTGCATAAATGTTGCCAAATTGCATCCACATTGTTCTGCTTCTTGATGGAGTCTCTGTTTTATAAGCTGAGGAGTTTCTCAGTATGTATCGTTTAAATACTACTAATCCTTTACTTGAAAATGATCGGACTGGAAACACTAGTATCTCTCTACTATGTTGGAATGGAGTTTACGTATTAGACAGACGATTTATGTTTGGATTGAAATGGCTCTCCAAAATGCAGGTGTCAGGTGAGACAAGGAGTGTCAAAATACCATAGATGAGATTGGGTATTCAACTCAGTTGCTAGGCTATATTTATGTTGATGATCATTATCTTTTTTTTTGGTTTGTGATGAGATTTGTGTACATGTTCAGGGAAAAAACCCCACGTAAAGAACTGATTTCTATAAGCCACCAGCGTATAAATTACTCGTTCCGGCCTCTGCAGGCATACAAACCCTACTCTGATCCTATCAGCGTATAACTACTCCGCAGCTGATTACGTGACTTTCGAGCTAATGAAACCAGAAACACTAGTGGGTGGGTTGATGGAGATCTGGCTCCAACATATCTAGGATCAGAAGCGAGTCAGGAGCAATGGGTAAGGTAAGAATACGAATATTCCCACCTGTGAAGCTACATCTTTGACTTTCTGGTTTGCGTCGCGACCACCAACTTCGTAGACACCCGTGTTCTGTTTCTTAGTTTCTTCGTTAAATCTCATTTGAACTAAAGACGCTCTTGATGTAAGCTTGTTTTTGGTGTGAATATATTTTAACATTCAATTCAAGCAAAAAAAAGTTACGTTTTTGACACACAGCACGTCCTAAAATCCAAAACTGTTTCCCTCCTTCCCATTTCCCATATGCTTCAGGAAAAATGGCGGTAGAGGTGAACAGAAACACATGTATATTCAATTTGGAGGCAGTCCCCAACAGGTATGTATGTCTCTTGACTCTTGTATTCGTCTTTAAGTAGCTGTCTTGTTCTTTCTTTGCCTGCAACTAATCAAACAGGTAAGACTTGCAAAGCAAAGTGTTGACGAGTGTATATACTCTCGATTTATCTTCTGTTCATTCTCACATTCGATGATAGCTAACGCCAATGATAGTTTCAGACAATCCCGCAAGGAGCAAAGATCGGTCTAGGGTCTTGTTTTTACACTTACCGCAGTCTTGCAAAAATTGCATGTATGGTCTGTATTTGTAATCTATAAATCTCAGCTTGGTCTATTTGAAATAGTGGAGAGTTAGGAATATCTGCAACCTCAGACGGCAAACAGTTTTGTTTGTTTGGTTGCAGACGGCGTGAAGTTCGTTGATATTCACTATTTGCTTGATTTGAGAAGCTCATTGTGCAAATAATATTATTCAAAATGGGCCGATATTGGCTCAAAAGAACATTGTTTTGGTTCGTTTCTTTAATCACAATATTTGATGAAATCTTAGTGGCCACGAGTGTAACAAGCTTGATTACTCATAAGCATAAACAGTTAATTCGGTTTACACAAACCCAAAAAGAATCAACTTTTTCTGCTGAAAGCGGTCGGATAGGGACGAGGTCACGTGCGTGTCACGTGGAGTACAGCTCTAAATAATGTTAAACACGAAAAGAAAAAGATACACAAAAGCCATGATTGAGGCTTTGATAAGCTCATGATGGCCCAAGGGTAAAACCGTAATTTCGAGGAAGTAACCAAACTAAGAAAAAAAGCAAACGCATCAAATGATTGGGAAAGAAATTGGGTGTTCGGTGAGAGAGGAACAACGATACACGCGAGAGAAAAGTGGACCACGTGTCCTTTTCCTTTTTCTTGTAAGTATGCCACGTGGACGTTATGTCATGTGATTTACCCACGTGATTAGTCTGACATAACAACGATTTGTTATTTTTTAATAAATCTTTTTTGGTTTTTCCGCTTAATAGTAACTCCCCATGCTTCGTTACATATCTTCCTCACGTGGCTTTCACTCGCTCCTGTCCCTTGCAACTGCATGTACTATTCAATTTATTGAATCAAATTATAGTAATAAATAACACAATGTTATAAAGTTTCAATTAAAAAAAAACATCTTGAAAGCTAAGATTTCCCATATTAAAGCGATCGACTTCCCACAGAAGATAATCTTTTAAGTAATGCGTTGATTTATGATTAGATTCACATCATGACATATGCTGATTAATTTATGCATAGCGAACAGTAGGCCATGTTTTCTTCATATAGGCCATACCCATATGTGAATAAAAAAATCGTAAAATAACTAGAAATTAAAGTTTGGATCCTATTTATTTCATACAACAGACCAAAATACTTGTTAATTTTCTTTTTCTCCGTCGCCGTATTTAAATTCGAGGCTTGTAACATTTGTTTTTCAATTTTCATATGGACGAAGTTCAACACGTTGTGTAACCAACATCGACCTTTTTATGTTACTTTCCTAAACTTGGCCAGATGTATATAGATAGATGAACAATAAACAACCACAAATGTTGGATCTCAATATAAATTGAATTATATGTGTGGTCGTCCGTCGTTTGTTCCTATATATAGAAGATGGTTGCATCATGATCGTATTGGAGCCACGATGGAAGTAAGTTCAAAACGAGGCTACGAGAACGAAAGGTGAAAATATGAAAAAGTTTTTAGCACATGGATGGGCACACACGTGGGACCATGTATTGACAAAATATTTCACATCAAATATGGTAAGATAATACTATTTGTGGACGTAAGTAATAACATGATAAACTAATTATTTTAACATGGTGCACGTATGTGATATATTAATCTCACGACCTCATTATGGGGTACATATTATATAGGTTTGTTGGTCGGTTGACATTGGATCCCATCCTCTATTTGTTTCTTATCAAAGTGATATGTATGACTTCTCACATCCATCTCTCGGTTTCTTTTTTTCTACCAAAAATAATCATTTCATTTTTTTTTTTTAAATACCAACACTCGCATTGATATTGTGTATTTATTACGTTTAGACTCGTATTCTACGTAGGAGGTACACAAATATTACTAAAGGCATCCACAATGGTGAAAATCTCAAGTGAATTTCTTAAAAATTAAAAGTTATTGTTTTTATATAATTAACTTTTAATTAAAAAAACAAAAACTAGACCAATTGGAATTTGACAAATGGCAAATGGGTTTTGTATGAGTATCTAGAGGAAGAATAGGTTATTCTTCTCTCTCTTTTTTTTTTTTTTAATAATAAGTTTCTTCGTAAGAAATCTCTATTGGAAATGACTTAATATGTTAGAAACAAAAGATAATAAACTGTTACTTTAAATACAAACTAATAATTACAAATGATGGGTCATGTATATTAAAGATAACAACAAAACGTTAAGTTGAATAAAAAACTTTATTAAAAAAAAGAATGTTAAGTTTCTTAATATTTGTGAAATAACCTATAACGGAACATGTATTTCCACCTTAAATTAGAACAAAATCACATTACATGAAAAGATTTTAGTATGAGTTGGACAACAGCATCCACACATAGACATCAACTCCATCTTTTATCAGTTTTAGTAATTTAGAATCCTTGTTTCTTAGTTTTACCGTATTCTAGTTAGTTTTACTACAAATTACTTATCTTCAGTATTACTTAATTTAGAATCCTTGTTTCTTAATTGTGTCTTCAGTATTATTAATAGTAAATAAGTTATAATATTTATAATTCCACAATATTATCGAATTGGCTATGAATATACTAAAAATGAGGTGAAAATAATAACAAGGCGTCACCCTTACATACATAGCTCCTCAGCTTTATGTGGGCAATGACATGCCTACGGAAAAAACGCAGATATTGTAGCTTTTTTTTACGGACTCGATGAAATTGACCAACATGGTGGGAGACCCGGATCAGTGGCCGAGTTTCCAACTAGAGCTGGAAGAGTTCAAGGTACTTCGGGCGTCTTTTCCAGATTGTACCATATGGTATTGTCCAAGAGAGAAGAATGTTAGATCAGACCTGCTGATCCGGCACGCCCGACAGAGAAATTTATTGTTTTCTTATATTGCCACTTCAGTACTTTACTGGTTCTTAACAACTGATGTATTTGGCTAGTTTGTCGGAACGAAGCGTGTTC